TGTTTCCTTTTTTTAATTTTTAAATTTTTTTATTTAAAAAATTTTAATCCCAGTATAAGTAACACAGTGTTATATTATTTTCAGATGTACAATTAGTGATTCAACACATCATGTCCCTTCTATTGTTGATGGGCCTTTGGGTCATTTCTGGTTTGGGTTATAATGTTAAGAACCACCATGAACATTCTATTTGTACCTGTCTTTTGGTTGGTAAAAGCACCCATTTTGGAATTGCGGGGTTGAAGTGGAATGGTAGCTTTAGCTCCTAAATCAGCCTTGCTCTGGATGATTTTCTGCTCTGTAAACTAGAGACTGTATTATCTATGTCTTCCTCAGGAAAAGTTTACCTTCTCAAGATTTTTTTCCCCTTCACACCTTCCTGACCATGTCTTCGCCTCTGAAAACACTGTTTCCCAATTCTTTCCATTAACTGTCTCATTGCACACTTTTCCCTGTGCACACCTCTCGCCCCCCCAGCTGTGCTCTTTTCATCAGCTCCCTCCTTGGTATGTTTGTGCCGTTATCTTCAAGGCCCCCCCTCAAACCACAGTCTGCCTTGAAGTCTTCAAGCTGGAGGGAATCATGATTCTTGTGCTATAATTTGTGTTCATTCTGTCTCCCCAACTTGACCGTAAACTCCCTGGGCCAGCCTCGTGCCTGGTAGATGATTGAAGACTGTATGTTCGGGTGATTCATTTATGGGAACATTAATACTTCCGTGCACATAAGATTCCTCAAAGAATATCATTCTCTGACTTGAGGTTGCTTAATTCTCCATTCTTGATGAAAATTTCAAAGTGCATTAGAATCTTATACTATTTCCTTACAACGGTCATATCAAAGGTGATCCTTTGATCAGGGGAGCCTGGTCTGCTGAGGAAGGAATAGAAGGTGCAGGGCACCTGGGTGGCTCAGTCGGTTGAGCGTCTGCCTTCGGCTCAGGTCATGATCTTGGGGTCCTGGGATTGAGCCCTACATCGGGCTCCTTGCTCAGTGGGGAGCCTGCTTCTCCCTCTGCCTGCTGCTCGCCCTGCTTGTGCTCTCTCTCTCTGTCAAATAAGTAAATTAAATCTTTTTTTTTTTTTAAAAAAAGAGGAATAGAAGATGTGCAGCTTTTCCATACTGGCTCATGGAACTTTTGGCCTTTAGGTCTCTAGGTGTAGTTGAACGTGTAAAATCGTTCAGGTGACTTATTTTGGGGTGCTTCATTTAATTTCATTCTCCAGTGCCCCCTTCCTTCATCCCTCCCCCTTCTAACAAGGCACACACTTATTTTTCCAAAGGAGACTACTTTTGGTTCCATGCTGCTTTCTCCACCTTGCTTCGATTGTGTCCTGAGTTATTCTAGTTGGGAATATCCTCCCTCACGATCCCCTAGGGTGTCGGGTGGACATTAAAAATGAAACAGAACCTCTGAGAGGGTGGCCCTGGACTATGCAAGGTACCAGCATTCAGCGGTGGCGGGTCTCCCCTAGAAGGTGTGAGAACCACTGCTGACGCTTTGCCCACCTCCTGTAACAGAAGGAGACACCAAATGCTTAACTTACAGCCAGAAACGCATCGTAGCCGAACTGGCCAAAGGGAGGCCTCGATTTCAGGAGACCTCTCTGACCCACTGAGCCTCCCAATAACCAATGCCCATCATGTTCTTTGATTTGAAACAGAAGTTGCAGAATCTGCCCTCCTTCTCGAAGTCGGTCACTAAAGTGCCCCCTTGCTGAGTCATGTGGCGGTCTCATGCACTTGCTGTGTGTGTCCACCAGCCTCTGAGCTGCCCTGCTCCGGAGACATGCCTTGTAAGCAGATGGGAAATATTTGTCGGCACCAAACATTGGATAAAATACCTGGGACGTAGGGACTCACTTGCCACAAACTTGTCCCTTTAATTTCGTATGTATTTTCTTTGTGTATCTACACGAACATACCAACCTTGACTTGTGTTTGCCTGATGATACAGAAATGCAGTTTCTTGGTCCACCGAGCACTGATTGTGTGTTAGGAAGGTAAACGTGTGCAAGGATAGCGAGAGACTCTTGCCTGGGGGAAGTTTTCATTTCTGTCTCTTTCTACTTTAAAGAATGTCAAGCCTTCAGAAAAGTTGGCATAGTGAACAACCTCCATCCCCTAGATTCACCAACTGTTGCATTTCACCATCTTAGTTTCTCAGTTGATTTTGTTGATGTCGAACCATCTGGGAAGGAGCTGCAGACATCATGACATTTCATCCCTAAATGCTTCAGCATGTTCTTCCCAAGAACAAGAGCATTCTCTTAAATTATCACCATATAGTTATCATCCTCGTTGGAAACTTAGCAGGGACACAAGACCATTACCTAGTTGCCAGTCCATATTTGAATGGTCTCAGTAGTATCTTTTATAGATTTTTTTTTTCTTTTTGCATCTAGGATCCAGTCAAGTGTCACACATTTATCTAGAAGTCTCTTTTGATCTTGAAGAGTTCTGTAGCCTTAGTTAGTGTTATTTTAATGATACTGATATTTGTGAAGACCCTGGCCACTTCTTTTGCAGGAAGCCCCTTAACTTGCAATTGCCTGATTGTTTTCTTATTCAACCTGTTTGGCAGGAAAACTGCGTAGATGCTGTGTGTCCTTCTTACTGACATTACATCAACAGACTAGGGGGTCAGCTTGTCCCTTTAATAGTGACGTTAAATGACTCTGGTCATTTGTTTGGGCTACTCATAAAGATTACTTTTCCCCTTCCAATTACAGATGTACCTGTGGAGTATCCTTTGGGATCACTCACAAATCTGTTCCCAATCATCTTTTATACAGTGGTTTCAGCATGTATTGGTGATTCTTGACTGAAACACTGATTATGGTGGCTAAAAATGGCAAATTTACATTTCTGTTGTCCTCCTGACATTTATTAGTTGGCCTTCTTTTGTAAAGAGGAGCCTTCCTGCCCACCCTCCCCTTTGAAATAGATTTCATTTCATTATTATTATTATTTATTTATTTATTTTTAAAGATTTTATTTATTTATTTGAGAGAGAGAATGAGAGAGAGAGCATGAGAGGGGTGAGGGTCAGAGGGAGAAGCAGACTCCCCGCTGAGCAGGGAGCCCGATGCGGGACTCGATCCTGGGACTCCAGGATCATGACCTGAGCCGAAGGCAGTCGCTTAACCAACTGAGCCACCCAGGTGCCCCATTTCATTATTATTAATAGTAGGAATAGTATCAATATAGATTCAGGGATTTTAAAAATTATTATTGCATGCATTATAATCTATTCCTGACATTATTCATTTTGATGCTCAGATTGTCCCAATTTTGGATAAGAGCCCTTTCAAGCTGGTTGCCATGTCCTTTTGGCACATCCTCCTTGGTTTGTGAGCTCTACCTTATATTTTGGGACAACCAGATGTTCCAGGCTCGGGCACTTCCCCAAGGAGCCCTGGTGAGGTTTAGTGGAGAGTGATAGTTGGAAACCAAGGTCTGGGCTCTGGTGTGCTCGTTGTTCCTGGGGTAGCATCGTTTCTAGGGCCTTTCCAATTGACAGAGCTAGGAAACAGAAGTTTTTTAAGATCCTAAGTTCACATTGCTCTTATTCCAGTCCAGTTCCAGAAAATTCTCCCTCTCCTTTCCCAATTCCATAGGTGGTTTTTTTTCATTTGTTTTTTATATTTTCCCCAGGAATTAAAAAAAAATCTTGAATCTTCTTTACTCCTGGCCTTATTATGAAAATAATTGTCATTATTGATGTCTATTTTCCTTGTAAGTGATGACATTGAGTAGATCATAAATTCAGTGCAGAGGTGAAGGCTAATGCCAAATCTCCTGAGGCTCTAAAAATAGCCTGCTCAGATAGGAGAACCTGGAAGGAAACACAGCCGGGAATATGTTATGTTTTTTTCCATATTTTGCAGTCATTTCACAATGAATGTATATTACTTTTAAAGTAACAAATAGGAATATTTTAAGGGAAAAGAAAGCTACATAGGTTGGATGTCAACATCTTGGTCCTACGTGTTGTAAGGAAGGAAAAATAATTTTCCCTTTCCCCTTTTAGATTCTTGGCTGAGACTCTCCCTGCCCCTATAAACAATAAACAGGAAGGAAAAAGCCAATTTTTAAATTATGTATGTGATGTGCATACATTCAGGAGCCCCACAAAGATACTATACTCAAATTGCCAGGCAGTTGAGCCTCCTGGACCGGTCCGGGGCCTCAAAGGCAAGGAAGAATATTCACAGGAGGGTCAGAAGACAAAATGTATGGTAAACAAAGTTTGCCCAGCCAGGCATGTAAGTAAGGTGATGTGTGGGCATAGCTGTCTTCCTGGCATGGCCCCCTTTCCATGTCAATCCCCCCTTTCCATGTCAATCCCCCCTACAAAAGGATATCTTATACTCTGTTTGCAGAGCTCCTGTGTGTCTGCAGTTTCTCCAAAACACTCCCTATGCCAAAGAGGCATATTTTGGGGTGGCATATTCTGGGGCCCTTCCATATACCTCCTAGGAGCCAGGCACTGTGGGGACCGAGCGATGAGGAGGATGGCAGGTGGAGGGCAGGGCTGGGGGGGCCTCTTCCCCAGCAGGAAGGTCAAGGAGGGGCCCCCCACCCTGCACGCCCCTGCCCCTGGAACCCAGGCTTCCTGGACGGTGCCCCCGCCCGCGCCAATTTTCGGGTCCCCTGTCGCGGTGGCGCTGTGGGGCACGAGCCGCCTCCCAGGCCGGGGGCGCCACAGAGCCGGCCCGCCCGCTGATGTCCGGCGCTGAGGTCAGCGGAGCCCTGCCGATCGGCCAGGGGGTCAGGTCAGCCTGGGACGGTCGGCGCGGGGCGGGGCCGGCGGACGGGGCGGGGCCGGCGGGCGGGCGGGGCGGGGCCGACGGGCCGGATTGGCTGCAGGCGCGGCGCACGGGCCGGTCAGCGCGCGCCCCGCCCCGCCTCTCCGCGCCGCACGCCGCGTTCACGTGGCGCCGCCCCAGCCTGCCCCGCGCCGCCGGGTCTGGCACGTGGGCGCGGCGTGCACCCCGCGTAGCTGCGCGCCTGGTGGAGGCTGTGAGCGTCCCCGCCCAGTGGCCTGTTTTCGTTTTCTCGGCCGAGGTTTTCCCCCGGGTTAGGTCTAGGAGCGGACGCGCGCTGTCAGTGCGCCAGAGGAACTAGGTCGGCAGGTGGCTAGCAGAGTCCCGGGTTGGGCGGGGCCGGGGCGGTAGTGCGCGCGGCACAGGAAGAGGGACACACGGGAAGCGTTAAAGGAAAGTCAGAACGTGGGAGATTGAAAACGAGCAGTGTTTTTATCTTTGGGGAGTAGTTATAAGTGCCCGACGCCGCTTTTTCCTGCTCGGCATCCTGGACAGGATGTTCTGTGTCAGTCACATCAGTAAACAGCCGCCGGCACAGGTGCTTTGAGCCACAGGGTCCCCAGAAACCGCAGCCACGTTCCGAGTGCAAGTTGTCTCAGCTCCTGGTCTGGGGCCCCGATTCACCACGAGCTGAGGACACAATGAATTGGGACTTTGGTTGCCCCTGAGTTTTTTGGAGGGCTTGGAGTTAACTTGCAGAGAGTGATTCAGCTGGTGGAGGGGCAGGATAAGTTCTAGGAGGAGTGCTCAAAGAACTGGGGATGTTTAGCCCAGACCAGACGGGTCCCAGGGGCCTGTGAGCCTGTCTGCAAGTGTTTGAAAGACTCGTGTGATCAGATTTGACTGGTCCCATGCCACCGTGCTGGGGACAGAGCGCACTGTTCGCGGAAGGTGAATTTCAGGTCAGTTACAGAGAAGGGGCAGGAATGAACTTTGTGGCGTTCTCTTGAGGAACCAGGTACAGCTAGGCGTTTATACTTATCAGTAAGAAAATGGGGGAGCTCAGATTCGGATTTTGATGTGCCAGACTTCAAAGCCTTTGCCTTTCATGATGCATTTGTTTTAATGGAATGGGTTACTTTGGGAGTAGTGCCAAAGGGTTTTTTTGTGGATGGAACTCATTGCACTAGAGGTCATTCAGCCGCGCTTAGCCATGTCAAGGATTCTCTACCTGGGATGAAGAGGGAGGTCGTCCTGGGCCAGAGGAGGAGGCCACCTCTCTCTCCAGCAAGTCAAATTTTCCAGCAGGGCGTGTCTCTGACCAGTTGTGCCTATGAAGGCTCTCCACCTTGTTAAAGCAATAATCTTGACTTGGAGTTTAACAAATGCGATCACAGTATCCAACTGTTACACAACATTCTTACTGCCCCTTAGCCCTTCCTTTTTTCAAATCTGATGCTTCTTCCCCTTGCCCAGCCCCTCTGCCTAGATCAGACTAAAAGTGGGACCAACACAGTAGGAACTGAAGAGTGCAGGGGTAAGTAACTTGGGCTCATTTCGGCCCTGGAGGCAGCACCAGATCTGGTGTCCGGAAAGGTCAGGAGGGAAGCACCTGGGCTGCTCTGACTGGCTCTGTGGCCCTCTGTGTCTGACACTGCAGACTGCAAGCCTGGAGGGCAGATGCATAAAGGAGGTAACCCTCTCTGAAGTTTTGGATTCATTTTATGAAGTAATAGCTTCACACTTTATGAAAAGACAAGAGCTTTTTAGGAATCTACTTTTGCCTCTACTCCATGTATTAAATTGTCAAAAACCCATAAGAGCATCTCTGGGAGGAAGGTGGGAGTACAGAATGGGTATAAAAAGGCAATATCTGGTTTTTCTTGGCTCTCCAGCAGATCTGGTTACAATTTCTTACCAAAACCCAGCCAGAAAATACCAAACAGCCCTCTTCCTCCAGAGGCAGCATCCAGCCAGAGTTGGTCTCCTCTCTGCCCTCAATGTAATTTTCAGAGATCTAGAAGCTGTCTCTGAAGGCCCACTTACTTTCCTTTCATTAAGTCTCTGGTGATTACTTCTTAACCTTCTGGGTCTTACGTGTCTCCTTCAGGGTATCAAGGCATTGGAGATCATCCAGGTAGCAAATGCAGCCCAGCTAAGCAGTGCTTAGATCTCAGATTAAGATCTAAGCCGTGCTGTAGAGAAGGTGAAATATTCCTGTCTCCCTGCAAGTACTCTCCTTCCTTCTCCTCCTTCAGATCCTTCATTAAGGAGGGTTCTTAAGGTGATATTAGCTCAGTTTGCATTTGAACTGATCTCTCAGAGATCTGGAACTCAAGGGATGGTACCATAATGGTGGGCTTTAAGGCATAAACAACTTAGGGAGAGGGTAGGGAGCAAAAGTTCAGACACACTCTTCTTTCTCTGGCCTTTTGCTGTCCCCACCCCAGCATCCTCCTCCTAAAGGGCAGCTGGGGTCAGGTGCTGGGAAGGGGGGAGTGTGTTGGAAGGCTAGTATTGAGCCCCCTGTCACCCACTGTGGCCATCTTTGTATTAATGGATAAGGGGCAAAGATGGAACCCTCCCAGGCTCTTGCTGCAGCTGGGAGCGAGGGAGGCGGGGAGTTGTGCCTGGGCTCTGCAGTCAGACTTCCTGGGCTCAGATGCGAAGCTGTGTGACCTTGGAGAAGTTCCTTCCCCTCTCTGTGCCTCGGTTTCCTCGCCTGTCAATGGCAGGGTAGCTCTGAGGTTTAGGCCCCAAGCACTCCAAACATGCCTGGCACATGCTGGGTGCTCATAGGCGGTGGCTTTGATTCCCGACTTGAAGGAGCCCGCAGTCCAGGAATGACAACAGCCCTGTGGTTGCTCTCTGTGAGCTTAACTGGGCTGGAAGAGACAAAGATGGGTGGTGAGCACAGCAGCTCCCCTGCCCCAGACGCTAACCTGTCCTCTGGGTCTGCCCTGCGGAAAACCACGTGGCGTGCGGGGCCCTGACTCGTGTCCAGGGAACTTGCTGATGGTCCGTCCGCCCAAGACAGCCCCTCCCGCAGTGGTCCTTAGCCAAATGCCTCTCCTTCCTGTCCCCAGAGTTCTCTAACAGGGTCCCCCCTCTCGTACTCTTGGCACGAGGTAGCTGGTTGGGTGGCTGATGCGCCTGGGAAACAGAAATTTTCCCATTCTTTCTTGTTCTCCTACTTGTGGGATTTTTAATGGGGTGTCTGGTGGCGACAGGCAGAGCTGGATTTCAATTTTAGTGCAAGGAGGAATAAGGCAGCTCCAAAGTGGGCTGGAGCCATTGGAGTTGATAAGAAAGGGTAGGGAGCCTCAGCGGATACCCAGCAGACCCAGCCCATCTTTCCCTGGGGGTTTTTGATGTTGATCTTGGGCCTTTGTTTCTGTTCCTTAGGCTGCCTTGGGGGTGAAATTGCTCTTGTTGACTGGTGGGCTGGGAGATGGCTAAGGGACGGGGAGGAAGGGGATTGCTTGCTGTGGTCTAGACAAAGGTTTACAGGTATGCAGAGGCTTTTTAAAAATACTAGTGAAAAAATTCCGTATCGTCTAAATGTTGTGCTGTGCGGTGATATTCCAGTAGCTGAGCTCTTGCCCACAAAATTGGCCATCAGGCTCAGGATCATGGGAGGACTGGCCCCTGCCTGATTCCCAATTTTGTGTTTTTATAGTTATTTCATGGATGTGCACTTTCTCATACCTTTCCCAGCTTCTTGGAGATTGTGGGTCTAGATACTGAAAAGATTGAAATATCGATTGGTAGTATGTGTGGCTTGCTCTCTGGAAAGACTTTCCCTGTTGCCTATTTGTAGGAACTTTATATTAGTAACATTTTGGGAATCTTTTTTGCAGTGACTTTCCTGGACTGCTGTTTGTGGTTGTTTTGAAGTGGTGGGGCTGGGGGAATGTGCCCTGGGGGCCCACCCTCCGGTTCTCTAATGAGGAGACCATGGATTTGCTTTCAAGCAGGAGAATCATGTTTACCGGCTACAAGGGCTCCAAAAATAGATGCTTACCCCAAGACAGGTGGCAGTGGCATGCGGGGAAGCAATTTAAAAACCTCTGTAGCTCTTGACTGTCACCTTATCTTGAGTGACTTGTCGCATTGTTTGGTGATCTAGAAATGAGAAAGAATACTAAGTCCTTTAATGTAAAAAAAGAAATCCACCTGCCTGACTCCCTCCTCTTCCCCTCCACCCCTTGTTTATGTTTTCTTTCTTGCTCCTCCAACGAATGAAATGCAGAAAATACACATTTAAATGGGACTAGAAGCTTTCAGCCACAAAAATTCCTGCGGCTATTGATGATGGGAATGGGAAGACTAGGAACAGAAGTGGGGCACGGGGGGCACCATCCGTGGGGTGGGGTGGATGGGGGAGTGTAAGGAGATGGTGGTCTCGAAGCTGGGTGGGTGGGTGGGGACAGAGGGGTAAGAACTTTCTGGAAAGAGGGGATGACCAATACGATTTCCATTAATCCAGGAGTCGGGACAGGCAGGGCACACCTCATGTCCTTCCTCGGCCCCCAAAAGATTACTTGGGTGCAGGAAGAAAATATGACAACTTCCCTTTCTGTTTATTTTAGTGCATCCTTTTTAATTTCTAATTTTTGCTTAAGTTTTATGATCGATACGGTATAACAGCACAGAAGCACATGTTTATGATTGACAACTAAAGAAACGCCTTTTTGGGAAGTAATAGTGTGTGGTCAAAGTTTGGCTGCTGCTCCTCAAAGAAATGATGACACAGCCTGGGGACGACGGGGAGGGGGGTGCTTGAATGCGTGAGACTCATTGGTGATGTTATTACAGTGCAAATTTGTATTCACTGGGCTGGAGCCCCAAATTCTGCATTTGGAACTGACGCAGAGTGAGATGGTGTTTTCCTCTTCTTGCCGCAGTGTTGCACCTGGTGTCTCAGACCTAGAGGGAAACCCGAAGCCACAGGGCGGTCAGGAACAGATGCTCTGGCATTTTCTTTCCTGGAATGCCTAGCCCTTACTCTTGCCGTGGCGAGGAAGTCCCGCACGCACGCTGGATTAACCACCGGCATCGGTTCCCATAAGGGATGTGTCACTGTCACATGTCTTGTGATGTTAATTTGCTTCTCAGTCCAGATGGTGTCTGTGGCCCACTTCACAGAGAGGGAAGGTGCTGGGTGCAGCCGGGTGGAAAGCCGATGGCTGGGGAGTGTGGAGAAGGAGATGCGCGGGCAGGTGCCCTGCTGTCCCTGCCCTCTGTTCTGTACCC